TGGTACCCAAAATCAATGGCATGTCCAATAGAGTGGCCATGGAAAAACATCGTCAAAATGCTTTACTCCTTGATATTATGCGTATTGAATTGAATGCCGGACGCAATGTCATTAGCCGCAAATCAAAGGATATTCAATGGACTGGACAAGATGTGACCTTATATTCGGAAATTTATGAACGTGTTATGCGGGCCATGAAGGGTGATGTAGATCTCACCATGAATCCCATTGTTGGACAAACTACCCTAATGCCACATCGTATGCTGCTGCCTCGTGGTCGCACTGAAGGTCTACCCATGCAATTAATGGTTGTTATAACCCCCGTCGAAGAAAAGAAGAATATGATGATGATGATGACCTCTGGACAAGGTACCCGCTTGGGTATGGACACCCTCATTGTGGATAATTTACCCTTGATGTATCCTCTCGATCGTGAAATGACAAATATGGACAAAATATCACAATTACCCAATGTTATGTTGAAGGATGTTATGATCTATCACAGCGATAAAAACGATATGTAAATTCGATCTCAAAAAAGAAAAAAAGACAAACAAAAACGAACAATGGACAGCGAAACGAGCGAAAATGTGTTATTAGTAAATAAGTGATTTTTTTTTTGTATGAGAAGCAATTTAAAATTAAATAAAGAATTGGAATGTTAGCAAAAAATTTTAAAATTTTTATTTTTTAAAGGTTTTTTAAAATAGTTTTTTTTGCTTTAACATCAAGCGTTGATATTTAAAATATTATTCCAAGCAGTTAAAATATGCGTGGAGATTTTAATGCAAAAATCGGAAGGGAAAATATCTATGGCCCCACCGTCGGAAAATTCAGCCTGAGGTTGATTGACTTCGCGGCAGCAAAAAAAAGCATGGTAGTTAGCAGCACCAGATTCAAGCATCTCGATATGAATACACAAGGCCACATGAATTTCTCCCGATCGAACAACGAGAAATCAAATCGATCATGTTGTGATAGACGTCCAGTGTTTTAGACGTCCGATCGATGGCAGCCAAGGTACGCACTCGTCTTAATTTGCAGCAAAGGTGCGATCTAACACAACACGGAAACTCGACGTCGAAAAGCTGCAAACACAACAGATAGCAGAAGTCTAATCCGTTCAACTTGCCAAACTGCTTGATGAAAGCACCTTGTCCCGATATTAATATAGAAGCACAGTGGCAGAGAATTGCCCACTCCCTACAAACTGCTGCAAAACAACACTTGGACAACAAAAATCACCATCAAGAAATCCGTGGTACGATCCGGAGTGTCGTAATGCTATTGATATAGGGCAACCCTGCGGACAGTAACAACACGTAATGCGATGGAGAACTATCGGGAGAAAAGGAGAGAGGAGAAACGTATTTTCAGAAAAAAGAAGAAAGAAAAAGAAAAACGTGAGCGTGAGCAAATCGAGATGTACAGGAGTCAGAATGAAGTCTGAAAATTTTACCAACGGGTAAAACACCAAACCGAAGGCTTTGGTGCAGGCACATCCTCCTGTAGAGATGAAGATGGAAACCTGGTGGCAGATACAGACAGCGTGCTGAGGATCTGGAAGGAGCATTTTGAAAAACTTCTGGTATCAAATAGTAGCGGTGAAGAGGATGACGGTATAGAGAGTATAACACATAGCCAAGCAATCAATGGGCAGGTGCCGATGGGTTACAAGCCGAGCTATTCAAGACTGGTGGTCAGATGCTGGTCAGGAGCATACACCAGCTGATTAGTACAATTTGGCTAGAGGAATGAATGCCCAATGATTGGAACCTCAACATCCTGTTCCGTTTAGAGATGTTTAAAGCCATGTCTGCATTCGGAAAACCTGCAAAATTAATGCGGCTATGCAGGATAACTTTAGGTGGCACAAGGTAAGCAGTTAAAGTCGGAAAGGACCTATCGGAGCCCTTCAACACCGAACAAGGATTCGGAGAAGGTGACAGTTTGTCGTGTGATCTTTTTAACAACCTGCTGGAAAAGGTCATACGAGAGGCAAAAGTGAACAAAAATGACATTCTGTACTTTAAACAACACATGTTACTCGCCCGATGACGAATATTGGGTCGAATATTACGAGCGGTAACAGCCACCTTTGAACAAATTGAGAAGGAGTCTGCCAAAGTGGGTCTGGCAGTAAACGGCGAGAAGACCAAGCTGATGGTATCAACGCGCAAGACGTCTAGTAGACTCGGACCAACTGTGGAACTTGAGAACTACAGCTTCGTGGTAGTCAAAGATTTTATATACCTTTGTACCGCTATAAACAAATCGAACGACATCAGTTTTGAAATTCGGAGAAGGATTGTGATGGCCAACCGATGATACTATGGTCTAAGTAAGCAGTTTAGAAACAAGGCCACCTCCCGCCAGATCAAACTCACACTCTACAATACGCTGATACTACCCGTGCTGTTATATGGATCTGAAGCATGGCTACTTGCGCAAGCAGATGAGAGCTGCCTCAATGGGGAGTTTGAAAGAAAAATTCGAATGAACCAAGAGTTGTACCAGCTTTTCTCGCACATTGACATTGTTAGACGTATTGAGCTGCAGCGACTACGTTGGCTAGGTCATGCTGTGAGAATGGATGAAGATGTCCCAGCCCAGAAGGCATATAAAAGCGAAGCTGGCTTGTGACAGAACTGTGTTTCATAAGCCGAGCTTAAAAAGGATTTACAGGCGCGTCGGTCTTTTGCGCAGTTTTTCCAATTTGAAAGACCATATTCAGCAATATTGTCTTCCACTTGGTCTTTCCATCTTATTCGTGGCCTTGCTCTTATGCGATGGAAAGACCAAGTGGAAGACAACAATAGGGCCTTTCAATTTGGAAAAACTGAACAAAAGACCGACGCGCCTGGAAATCATTTTTAAGCTCGGCTTATGAAACGAAATTTCTGTCGCAAGCCAGCTAAGTAAGTAAATGTATGTAAATATATATGTCGATAGTCAGGCGGCCCTTAAAGCGGCGAAGTCGCATACTATAAACTCAAAAGCAGTTCATGATTGCAAGACCGCTCTGAATGATATACGACAGATAGTTGGTTTATGTTAGTGACATTGAAGAGAATGACATATCCACAGTCGTCCAATTTTCCGATTGAGAGATCTGTGAAACCTCACATCGGCTATTTCATTGGCAGAATCCGTACGTTCTACTGCGAGGTAGTCGGCAACAGATGGCTAAGAGAACCTGCTTGCAGAATCTCAAGATCTATATGGCCTGAATTCTCTCGTAAAAGAACGTCTTCGCTGCTGACATACTATAAGAGGGAGATTAGATCTCTCACTTCGAAGTGGGACTCCAATGGAAAGGATTACTGTCGTCTATGTGAGGACGAAGAAGAACTGGAAACAATTAAAAACATCCTCTGTAAATATCCATCGCTGATTAGCAGAAGGCATAAACATTTTGGAGGATATACCCAAACCAGATCCTAGGCTTTGTCAAAAATTTGACATGGCAAAAATAACCTCTCTTCCGCTCTTCTTCTCTCAATATATTTTCTCCTTGCTTCTCCACTCCCTCTTTTTCTTTTCTTTACAGGTAACATAAAAGGATGATCATAATGGACATAGTCTCCGAGTGGACGGTTGTTATTTACAACCGTACATCCCTAACCCTAAAATATGTATATCAATATTTGTTTAAACCCACGCCTATTGTAGGAGCTTGAACAAATTATTTTGTAGGAGTTAAAAAAAAATAAATATCTATGCCTATTTTAACAGCTTGAAAAATTATGTTAAAAATCTATTCCTATTTTAACAGCTTTAAAAAAATTATTGTTAAATTCGACGCCTTGAAAAGTTATTATATCCATACCAAATTTTGTCATCATCCCCTCTTCTGTCGTCGTATTCGTTCCCATTCTATTCACGTCTAATAAATTAATCATCAACAAAGGCGTTTCCACTTCTGTATCATCATCGTTATTATTATCATCACACATAACATCAGCAGCACCCTCCCCTTCCTCACACTCCCCCTCACAAATCTCTCCACCTCTTATAGTGTGGAATAAATAATTTAGAATTTAGCACATAAGTTTTCATAAAATGTGTATTTTTTATTTGAATTTGAATTTAATTTTTTTTTGCAAATTGTATTTAGATTTTTATTTATTTAGTTGTTATATTTAGCATTTGTTGTCATTTTTTTTTTAAATTTTATTTTGATTATAATAAATGAAATAGTTAGTAGTAGTTCTTCAATAACATCTAAATTTTTTGTGTTGTTTTGCAATAGCCTTTTTACCATAGTCAGTTTTTTTTAGCCAGTTTTTTTTCGGAAACTTAAAAAAACTGTAACAGAATATTGAAATTTCCTTGCCTTTCAAAATTTTTTGCATGTTTTGCCTCTAAAAAGCATTCGGAAACTATTCAAAAACTAAAGGCTATTTTCAGTGTGTTGATAATCTCTGCCTTGGATATTTTTGCGTGATTCTGATTAAACATCGACATTTGCTTAATAAGATATTTTGTTGTTGTTGTTGTTTTGTTTTCATTGAATAATAATTTTTTTTTGTAATGTGTTCCATAAATTTGATATATTGATGTTGAAGCTGTTTGGTTTTTTTAATATTTTTTCTGGTGTGGAAAACAAAATCTGCGGCTATTCCCATTTCTTTTTTCAAAAATTCTCCAAATAAGGAGGTTTGCTGATTACTGGAAAATACAAAAATACACATATTTAATAGATTTTTTTTTTAAAGAATTTTTATAAAATTATTCCACTTACCAAAAAACAAAGGCATACTCTTCTTCTTCTTCCTCTTCGTTGCAGTTGTCCAGTCCCGTCCATTCCAATTGTCCTTCTTTTCAACATATTTTCCCTCATCATCATCACAGCAAAATGTGTAAAGAAACAAATAATCTTATAAATATTTTTTGTTGTTGTTCTTGTTATATTTTGTTTTCTTCTTCTTTTTTATCTCATAATTGATTTACGAAGTTGTTGTTGTTTTTTTTTTTCTTTACATCTCTCCTATCCTCCTCCATTTGCTTAACAGGCACAACCACCCTCTGGATCCTTTTGTTCATTTTGCTGTCCCAATTGTATATCCTGCATAGCATCCGATGGCTTGTTGTCTGCAGCCGAATCCATGCCCGGCAATGCAGCAGCCACACGTCGGAACAACAACTTAACATTATAACCCGACTTGGCACTTGTCTCAATAAACATTACATTCAGCTCCTTGGCCTTGCGTTCACCCTCCTCGGTGGAGACCAAACGTTTATCAGCCAAATCTGTTTTATTTCCAACCAACATTATTATGACATCACTACCCCTTTCGGTGCGTACATCATCGATCCACTTGGAAGTTTGATAAAATGAATTGGTATTGGTAATGTCATACACCACCACAGCCACTGTCGAATCCCGTATGTAGGAGGGTATCAGCGAACGAAAACGTTCCTGACCTGCCGTATCCCACAATTGCAAGCGCACAGTACGATCCTCTAAGTACATGGTTTTCGAGAGAAAATCAATACCAATGGTAGCCTGATAGGTGTTGTCAAACGAATCGTACATGAAACGTGTAATTAGCGAGGTCTTACCGACGCTCTGCTCCCCCAGGAATACCAATTTGAATTTACGCAAGGGATTGCCAAAATCACCAGATGACATAGTTGCCTGGGGTAATGGTGAATGGGGATTGGGTGACATGTTTGGTTTTTTCTTACTTTTTTTCTTCTCTAAAAAACTTCAAAAAAATTGCCAAAAAATATCCACCTCCCGATTTCTTTATTCCAAAAACTCCTTTACTTTGGCTGGTAAATGGGAAATTTTTGGAAAAAGCCAAACTTTTCTTTGAAAATTTTTCGTTTCACTTTTCTTTTTTTCCTTTTTTGGTTTATAGATTTTTCCCAAGGAGGAGTTTGCTGACCTCTTACGTTTTTGGTATTACTTGCTAGGCGAATGTATAAAATATGAATAACCACACCAGAGAGAAACGTATAAGGCAAGCGAGCATGAAAAACCAAGGATAAAAGGGAATAAGGAAGTTTCTCTCATTTGGGTACTTGTGCTCCACAATGTTGCCATATCCCCCCATTCAATATGGCAACATTGTGGAGCAACCCCCAAAAAACCAAAGGAACTTAACATCTGTTTAACTCTTTCAGGACTAATGTAACGGAATTTAAGGGTGTTGGTTTCAATAACAATTTTATTTCATATGGCAATGCCATAGAAAAATTATTTTAAAAAATCCACAACTAAAAGTGGGCTGTGAAAAAAAATTATTTTAAAAGTCCACAGGCTGCGAAATAATTATTTTAAAAAAGTCACTCCTAAAAGTAGGCTGTGAAATAATTATTTTAAAAAGTCACTCCTAAAAGTAGGCTGTGAAAAAATATTTTAAAACACCCTAACCTAAAAGTAGGCTGTGAAAAAAAATTATTTAAAAAATCCACGCCTATTTTTAAAGCTTGAAAAAAATTATTTAAAAAAATCCACACCAATTATAACAGCTTGAAAAAAATATTTAAAAAAATCCACGCCTATTTTTAAAGCTTGAAAAAAATTATTTAAAAAAATCCACGCCAATTATAACAGCTTGAAAAAAATATTTAAAAAAATCCACGCCTATTTTCAATAGCTTGAAAGAATTATCTTAAAAAAACCACGCCTATTTTTAATAGCTTGAAAAAAAATATTTAAAAAAAAACACACATATTTTAACAGCTTGAAAACATTATTTTAACAATCCACGCCTATTATACTTACTTAGCTGGCTTGTGACAGATCTTTCATTCCATAAGCTGAGCTTAGAAAAGATTTAAAGGCGCGTCGTCCTTTTGCGCAGTTTTTCCAATTTGAAAGACCATTTTCGGCAATGTTGTCTTCGACTTGATCTTTCCATTGTATTCGTGGCCTTCCCCTTCTGCGTGAACCATTAGCTGGTTCACTTTTACATGCCTTCTGGGCTTGAGCATCTTCATCAAATCCCACAACATGACCTAGCCAACGTCGCTGCAGCTCAATACGTCTAACAATGTGGATGTCCGAGAGTAGCTTGTACAACTCATGGTTCATTCCACGGCGATATTCACCGTCAACGCAGATCGGCCCATAGATCTTTCGGAGAATTTTTCTTTCAAACACCCCATTAACAGCACGGGTAGTCTCAGCGTCTTGTAAAGTGTGAGTTTGGTCTGGCGGGAGGTGACCTTGTTTCTAAACTGCTTACTTAGATCATAGTAGCATCTGTTGGCCATCACAATCCTTCTGCGAATTTCAAAACTGATGTCATTCGTTTTATTTATGGCGCTACCAAGGTATATAAAAGCTTTAACTACCTCGAAGCTGTAGTTCTCAAGTTCCACAGTTGGTCCGAGTCTACTGGACGTCTTGCTGCACGTTGATACCATCAGCTTGGTCTTCTCACCGTTTACTGCCAGACCCACTTTGGCAGATTCCTTCTCAATTTGTTCAACGATGGCTGTTCGACCGCTCTCAATGTTCGGCCCATTATATTGATGTCATCGGCGTAGGCGAGTAACATATGTCGTTTGGTGTACAGAGTGCAATTTCTGTTCACCTTTGCGTCTCGTATGACCTTGTTAAAAAGATCACACGACAAACTATCACCTTGTCTGAATCCTCGTTCTGTATTGAAGTGCTTCGATAGGCTCTTTCGACTTTAACTGCTGACCTTGTGCAACATAAAGTTATACTGCATATCCGTATTAATTTTGCAGGAATGCCGAACGTATACATGACTTTAAACACCTCTGAACGGATAGAGCTGTCAAATGCGGCATTATAATCGGCGAATAGATGGAATGTTTCAATGTGTTTTTCGTTGGTCTTTTCCAGGATTTGGTTGAGAGTGAAAATCTGGTCAATGTGGTGGATTTGCCAGGTCTGAAGCCGCATTGGTATGGTCCAAGGATGTCATTGACCATTGGCAGTACGCTGAATAGCACTTTATATGCAATGGGAAGAAGACTTATTTCTCTACATTTGGCACATCTTCTTGTCTTGTCTCATTTTTTTGTGCACGGGACACAGGATGCTGATATTCCAATCATTGGACATGCATTTCTCTAGCCAAATTGCATCTGAGCACCAGTCTTGAATAGTTCGGCTGGTAATCCATCGGCACCTGCTGCTTTATTATTCTTCAGCCGATTGATTGCTATTCTGTCTTCATCTTGGTTTGCTGGTATACACTCTATACCGTCAACTCTTACTGGTTCTGGGGTATCTTTTTCACCGCCCCTATTTGATACCAGAAGCTTTGCAAAATGCTCCTTCCAGATCCTCAACACGTGTCTGTATCTGCCACCAGGTTTTCTTCTTCATTTCTACCGGAGGATGTGCCTGCACCAAAACCTTCGGTTTGGTGTTTTACTCGTTGGTAAAATTTTCGGACTTCATTCTGACTCCTGTACATCCGGATTTGCTTACGCTCAAGGTTTTTCTTGTTCTTTCCACTTTTTTTCTGAAAACACGTTTCACCTCTCTCCTATTCTCCCGATAATTCACCATCACATTACGTGTTGCTGTTGTCTGCAAGGTTGCCCTATACGCTGCGTTTTTCACATCAGTAGCATTACGACACACCTGATCGTACCATGATCGTTTCTTGATGGTGGTTTTTGTTACCCAAGTGTTGATTTTGCTGCAGTGTGTAGGGAGTGGGCAATTCTTTGCCATTGTGTTTCTATATTATTATCGGGACTATGGGTGCTTTCGTCAAGCAAGTGGGTAAATTGAGCGGAGTAGGCCTCGGCTATCTGTTGTGTTTGCAGCTTTTCGACGTCGAGTTTCCGTGTTGTGTTAGATCGCACCTTTGCTGCTACCTTATGACGGGTGCGTACCTTGGCTGTCACAAGGTAATGGACCGAATCGATATTCGCTTCTCGTATGCATCAAACGTCTAAAACAATGAATGAATACCTTCCGTCTATCACAACATGATCGATTTGATTTTTCGTTGTTCGATCGGGAGAAATCCAAGTGGCCTTGTGTATATCGAGATGCTTGAATCTGGCGCTCAATCAGTCCTTCATGTCGTTGGCGAATGTTTCTTCATGAAGGCTGAATTTTCCGATGGTGGGACCAAAGATTTTTTCCCTTCCGATTTTTGCATTAAAATCTCCTAACAGAATTTTAATGACATGGCCAGGGCAGCGATCATATGCTGTTTCTAGGCGTTCGTAAAATATGTTTTTGGTCTGTTCATCTTTGTCTTCGGTCGGAGCATGGACTGATTATAGCAATTCGCTCATCTACTGGAGTGAATCTAAAGACGAGGTATTTTATTCTCCTGTTAACCATAAATCCGCAGACAAATTCATGTTTCGTTTCATGGCATCTATGATACAGGGCGTAATCCGCATCTGATTTACTTACGCCTGTCCCTTTCCGTCGCATTTCCTGTAAGGCAATAATATAATATCCGCCAAAGCGAGAACTGCGCCTGTTCGTTGTACAACGTGCGCACATTCCAAGTGCAGATTCGCAGATCGTGGTCCTTTATACGTTTGCGGGGGTCGTCAACATTAGGAGGGTTTGTTTTCTTTTTCTTTGCTTTTTCATAGTAGGAGGGGTTTTCCGAGTGTGGGCAACTAACCCGACGCCTCAACCTATTTTATAGTTCTTATGGGTGAACTCGCGGCACATATTAGCTCTCTACTTCAACGGGTGATGAAAAATAGCTACCCTAGGTGACACCGCGGGGAGGCCAGCGTCCACAATTGAGATGAAAGAGGGACCAAGATAAGCCTGGACTTTGCCATGTTAAAGCCAACCAGAGCCGTTGCTTGGTACTTATCATCCCCTACTCCACCCTACACCTAAAAATAGGCTATGAAAAAATTATTTTAAAAATCCACACCTATTTTAACAGATTAAAAAAATTATTTTAAGAATCAACGCCTATTTTAACAGCTTGAAAAAATTATTTTAAAATTCCCGCCTATTGTAGGAGCTTGAAAAATTGTTTTAAAAATTCACCCCTCTAAATGAGACTTTTTTCAAGATTTAATTATAGGATTGATTTTTTAAATTATTTTTCAAAATCCCAAAAATTATCAATCAATATACCACCCTAGCATAACACCGATTCTGCGCAATGCGCAAAGGATATCAATGTTTTGACATTTCTTTTGTGACGTCCTTTTTGTATCCTGTGAGAGCGAGAGTAAACTGGACACTTGGGGGTTGTATTGATTTTTGTAAAACGTCACTCCGACGAAGTAAAAAACAAAAACAACACATCCTATACACACTGAAGAAGAATAATTTTTCCTTCCGTCTATGTGTGTGTGATAGAATCCTTAGATGATTCTTCATTAGAAGTGTAGTGGATAATATTTCCATGTAACTTCTTAGGGATCCACATAAAAAGGTCTTCCACCATCCCCACAAAAAAGGAAAAAAACAAAAATATTCCATTTCCACAAACAAAAAAATCGATTCGACATCAAAAGCTATTGAATGCTTATTGAATCCTATCGCGATTATATTGTTGAGCTTGTGACCGAGTGCAGTATGAAGCGGCAGAATGTTAGGACCCTGTCATTGGTGGTATGTACCTTCACATATTTGTTAATTGGAGCAGCTGTCTTCGATAGTTTGGAATCGGATTTCGAATCGAAACGTTGGGATTTTCTGCAAGCGGTGAAGAATAATTTCATGAAAAAATACAATGTCACGGCGGAGGATTTTCGCATGATGGAAATTGTGATAATCGAAAATAAGCCACACAAGGCCGGTCCCCAGTGGAAATTTGCGGGGGCATTTTATTTTGCCACTGTAGTTTTGGCGATGATAGGATATGGTCACTCAACACCGGTCACCATTGGGGGTAAGGCGTTTTGTATGGCCTATGCTATGGTGAGTGATCGGAAATTTAAAAAATGAGGTTAGAAATAATACAAAAAAAATATATTTCAGGTTGGCATACCTTTGGGTCTGGTCATGTTCCAATCGATTGGTGAACGTTTGAATAAATTTGCCTCGGTCATCATTAGAAGAGCCAAGCGTTATATGCACTGCAGCCACACGGAAGCAACGGAAATGAATTTAATGTTGGCCACCGGAATGTTGTCATCGATTATTATCACCACCGGAGCTGCAGTATTTTCTCGCTATGAGGGTTGGAGCTACTTCGATAGTTTCTATTATTGTTTTGTCACTTTGACAACAATTGGATTTGGTGATTATGTGGCTCTACAAAACGACCAGGCCTTAATGAATAAGCCAGGGTATGTGGCCCTCAGTTTGGTTTTCATTCTCTTCGGTTTGGCAGTGGTGGCTGCCAGTATCAATTTGCTGGTATTGCGGTTTATGACGATGTAAGTAGGAATTATTTATTTTTTCAAACCGGGGATTTTTTAAATAATTTTTTCAAGCATCTAAAATAGGCGTGGATTTCTAAAATAATTTTTTTCAAACTTCTAAATTAGGCGTGGATTTCCAAAATAATTTTTTTTTAACTTGTAATATAGGCGTGGATTTCTAAAATAATTTTTTCAAACTTCTAAAATAGGCGTGGATTTCTAAAATAATCTTTTCAAACTTCTAAAATAGGCGAGGATTTCTTAAATAATTTTTTCAAACTTCTAAAATAGGCGTGGATTTCTAAAATAATTTTTTCAAACTTCTAAAATAGACGTGGATTTCTAAATCAATTTTAAAACTTCTAAAATAGGCGTGGATTTCTAAAATAATTTTTTCAAACTTCTAAAATAGACGTGGATTTCTAAATCAATTTTAAAACTTCTAAAATAGGCGTGGATTTCTAAAATAATTTTTTCAAACTTCTAAAATAGACGTTGATTTCTAAAATAATTTTTTCAAACTTCTAAAATAGGCGTGGTTTTATAAAATAATAGTTTCAAACTTCTAAAATAGGCGTGGATTTCTAAAATAATTTTTTCAAACTTCTAAAATAGGCGTGGATTTCTAAAATAATTTTTTCAAACTTCTAAAATAGGCGTGGATTTCTAAAGGAGTATTTTTTCATGTACCGAAAATAGGCGTGGATTTCTAAAATAATTTTTTCAAACTTCTAAAATAGGCGTGGATTTCTAAAATAATTTTTTCAAACTTCTAAAATAGGCGTGGATTTCTAAAATAATTTTTTCAAACTTCTAAAATAGGCGTGGATTTCTAAAATAATTTTTTCAAACTTCTAAAATAGGCGTGGATTTCTAAAATAATTTTTTCAAACTTCTAAAATAGGCGTGGATTTCTAAAATAATTTTTTCAAACTTCTAAAATAGGCGTGGATTTCTAAAATATTTTTTTTTAAACTTCTAAAATAGGCGTGGATTTCTAAAATAATTTTTTCAAACTTCTAAAATAGGCGTGGATTTCTAAAATAATTTTTTCAAACTTCTAAAATAGGCGTGGATTTCTAAAATAATTTTTTCAAACTTCTAAAATAGGCGTGGATTTCTAAAATAATTTTTTCAAACTTCTAAAATAGGCGTGGATTTCTAAAATAATTTTTTCAAACTTCTAAAATAGGCGTGGATTTCTAAAATATTTTTTTTTAAACTTCTAAAATAGGCGTGGATTTCTAAAATAATTTTTTCAAACTTCTAAAATAGGCGTGGATTTCTAAAATAATTTTTTCAAACTTCTAAAATAGGCGTGGATTTCTAAAATAATTTTTTCAAACTTCTAAAATAGGCGTGGATTTCTAAAATAATTTTTTCAAACTTCTAAAATAGGCGTGGATTTCTAAAATAATTTTTTCAAACTTCTAAAATAGGCGTGGATTTCTAAAATAATTTTTTCAAACTTCTAAAATAGGCGTGGATTTCTAAAATAATTTTTTCAAACTTCTAAAATAGGCGTGGATTTCTAAAATAATTTTTTCAAACTTCTAAAATAGGCGTGGATTTCTAAAATAATTTTTTCAAACTTCTAAAATAGGCGTGGATTTCTAAAATAATTTTTTCAAACTTCTAAAATAGGCGTGGATTTCTAAAATAATATTTTTTCAAGGCCTATCAAAGGCGTGGATTTCTAAAATAATATTTTTTCAAGGCCTATCAAAGGCGTGGATTTCTAAAATAATTTTTTCAAACTTCTAAAATAGGCGTGGATTTCTAAAATAATTTTTTCAAACTTCTAAAATAGGCGTGGATTTCTAAAATAATTTTTTCAAACTTCTAAAATAGGCGTGGATTTCTAAAATAATTTTTTCAAACTTCTAAAATAGGCGTGGATTTCTAAAATAATTTTTTCAAACTTCTAAAATAGGCGTGGATTTCTAAAATAATTTTTTCAAACTTCTAAAATAGGCGTGGATTTCTAAAATAATTTTTTCAAACTTCTAAAATAGGCGTGGATTTCTAAAATAATTTTTTTTTCTTCCTCTTTCCAGGCAAGCCGAAGATGCCAAACGCGACGAACAGGATGCCCAAAATTTGGCAGCCGCAAATGCACCCGTTACCTTCGACACGGAACACAGTTACAATATACACGGTAAACTATTGAATAGTTCCAATTATATGACAGAATATGATGAGACGGCATCGATATGTTCGTGCACCTGTTTGGGCGGTACTCGCTGTATGAACCATGAAACATTTGCCGATCCCGATTTTAGACCCACAGATATTATTGCCAGTACGATTAGCTTGAAACGTGCCTCAGTCTGATATCAATCTCTGCCCCAGTTGGCTGAATGTGATTGTTATGGCCGAATGTCAGCTGCAAAGTCGTCGTCATCGTCTCGTTGTTATTTGAATTGTTGTGCCAAAAATGAAATCTCCAAATCGTCAGAATGTATTGTTGGTTATCGTATATTGAAATATACATCGGATAGTCCCATCAGCTGTTTTATGTGTAGTAATTCATCTTAAGTGGCAAAAAAATGGAATGGAGTAAATGGTGGTTATGAATAAAAAAATTAATTAAATTTTTAAAATTAATTATTCCCAAGATGAAACCAAAATTAGAACACAAAAATAGAAGTACCCTTTTATCTTAAATTCTTCCAATATGCAACTGACATTTAAGAGATATAAATAAAAAATCTTTAAAAAAATTACTTAAACTCATGGATTTTTAAAATAATTTTGTTCAAGCTCCTACAATAGGCGTGGATTTAAAAAAAAAAATAAAAACTCCTAAAATAGGCGTGGATTCTTAAACTATTTACGTGAATTTCTATAGGATGATCTTATTGCGTGCTGCGATAGCGCAATTCCCATGGAGCCTTCGTCTACGACGTCATCTTCTTCGTCGGAGTACGGAACTCCACCGCAGTCTCCTCAACAGCAACCAAGTATGCAGCATTTAACACCGCACGTTGCTGTTCCACCCCTGACAGTGCATCGTTTCTGTAATTTAATTGCAACGGTCTTCGAGGAAAAATAGATGAGATAGTGGACTTCAAGAATCGGAAGAATATTTTGGTCGCGGCGGTGCAGAAAACCAAGCTCAATGAAAATTGTAGCCAGAAGTGGAGGTGGAGGCCTAGCATTCCCTATGCACCACTCTGTTCAATACAGGTCTATCTCGCTTGAGCTTGACTCTAGTGACCCATACATGGAATGTTAAATGCAGTTAAATGTGGTAGGGGAGACTGGGGCACCTTCGGCATCGGGGCACCTTCGGCAATCGCGTTTTCGATATGAAGCTCTCACCGTACATCACTAGTTTCGATACATAGGTATCGAATATCGAAATAAATAACTGACACAAAGTTTGAAATTTCTAGCTAATAAGCTTATTTAGATACATGGGTTTTTGTATTTTTGTAGATGTTTCTGTAATATTTCAATTCCATTTCGTAAGTATTTCGTGTATAAAACTTTTTAAATTTTTAAGATAATATTATTAAAAAGTGGTTAACTACGATGTGTATTATTATAGAAATATTTAAAAATGTAATGTTTTTACAAAACTGATCGAAAAAATGAACAAAACTATAAAAAGTACATTCGGGGTACATTCGGCATTTTAAAGTGGGGCACATTCGGCCATATACAGATTGTGCAATATTGTTTTTGAGTTTGTCTTTAAAAATAATCCTTTAATATGGTTCGAAATTGCATATATAAGATCAAACGTGCTTGTATTGACGAAAATGCGATAGAAAACCCCTAATTCTGATGCTGTGTGCGACCTTGAGATATAAACGTCCTCAGCTAGAAAATAAAGCCCTATAATTCAAACATTGTGTGGCGTATTAAAACCAAATAGAGCCTTTAGAGGATCAGAATTTCAACCAGACTGATAACGATGACAATTACCCGGCTATGGCTATGGTGCCGAATGTGCCCCATCAAATGCCGAAGCTACCCCGGGTTGGGGCACATTCGGCGAATTTGACTTTTTTTACAAAACTGTAAAATTTTTTAACTAATACTATTTTTTTATATCTTTTTGGTACTATTTTTTATAACTAAGTGTCAGAGGACAAAAATCAGCCATAAAGTTGTTATATATGTTGAATAAGTACTGAGATATAGAGCTCTAAAAAACAAGTGCCGAAGGTGCCCCAGTCTCCCCTACTGCCGAGGTAGAGGTGCTTAACGTGTACATACCGCCGATTAATAGCTGTGAACCGCGTTATTTGCCAACATTATTTCTATTGGAGGGCAATAACCGACTGGTGCTAGGGGACTTCAATGCCCATCATGAGTTGTGGCATTCCGTCCTAGGTAATGACCAGAGGGGAACATAACCATTGTGTCACCAGGTCAAACCATAGGAAAGCCAAAGCACGTCATCTCCACACATATAAGTCGAGGACTTAACCAGAACCGGCCGTGCGACAGAACAGTGTTGGTAGCGTTTGACCTATCAAAAGCCTTTGATACTGTCAACCATGCCACGCTATTTGAGGTCATTTAGAGCACTTCGGCAGGGTGGAGGGATTTCTCCGGAACTGTTTAACCTCTACCTTTCCGGTATTCCACGCCCTTCGGACGGCATATGCATATGATTGTACGATCATGGCGTCAGTTCGCATTGTTGAGGACATATGTGTGTGGTTGAACGCCTATTTCGTCGAATTAGCAATCTGGGCAATCATCCCAACCATCATATGGTGTATAGGACTCCCTCACCCAGGCGTGTCAGGAAGGACCTACATGATCTAGAGAGGTTCAACGTTACAAAAGGGAGTCTCTAGATCAAGTTGACTATGAGCAGGTCTGAATAGCATTCATATGATACAGTAGCCGCAGCGCTGAACGGATGCAGATTGAATGCCGTCCTCGGAGCTCATCCCCACCCATAGCAGCTGAAGAACGTAAGCTGCCCAGATAAACCAAAGTAGTTTTGGTATAATTACGTTCAGGATGGTACAGTCATCTCAATTCGTATTGGACACGGATTGATGACCAGATGCAAGATGTCTGCCCAACAAGTGAAACGGGCCCTCATAGCACACGGCACTTATTCAATTGCTCAGCCAAATAACAAGTGATAAAAGCAATAGGGTTGCTACAACAACATAGGATGAGCTTCTGATTTTCTATAAGGAAAACCTGGTGGTTTCCTATCACAAATTCTGCTGGTCTTCTATATGTAGACCTACGAGGCCACCTATCAGAAAACCTTGTTGTCTTTCCAAATAATTTCACAGCAATTTCCATTTGTATCCCATTCGGTATAAATACAAGATTTCAGTTTTCGATTATATGAATCATTTATTTCAATTACTTTTAAATACTCTCTTAAAACAAATTGTGTTCCATAAATATATATTTAATTCTATTTACTTTTAATATATATAAAACTTTATACTGTCCATTTAAATGTTAGTTTTTAAAAAACTGCCTTGTGAAATAAATGAAATGAGGAACCAACAAAAAAGAAACTAGAATAAAACTAATGAAGGCTTATTGTAAAATAGAAGTATAAGAAGATAAAGAGTTTGATATCAATTTTAAAATAATAGGAAGAACATTTCTATATTTAAATATAGATATACAATTTTCAAAGCAAATATATATGTTCATGATATCACATCGATGACAATCATGGAGGATTTATAAATTTGACCATTTCCACATAAGCAATATTTATAATTGACCGGGAGGCCTAGAAGGTCTCATACGAGAGGATGGGCATTTTACAGCTACCTTGAATGTTTTTTCGCCTTCTACCGGTCTTTTTGAAATGATTTGAGTCTATTCCTGGAGGTGATTTTTTATAGTATAAAGAATTTTGGGGGAACGAATCCAAATTTTCCACATGAATTTCAAATTTCAACAATGTATCTCCAAAATTTTTCATAACAAGCCCAATTAATAAAAACGAATAGAAATCATAGCTTAATTAATAAATAATAAAAATCAAAAATAATAATAAATTAAAAAATAAATTATATGCTATGAGGCATAAATCCGAAGCAATGAATGCTTGCGCTTAACTGCTTATAATTATTAGCTATTCCAAAAAATATATAATATAATGCAATTCTCCTTTAAATACTTAAAAAAGTACTTACAGCTAAAATAATTATATTTTAAAAATGATCGATCATAATAATGGCGAGAGAGCAGCAACCACAGCAAAAACAAAATAAAAAACAAACAAAACGAAGTGATAAGGCCATCAATTTTAAAGTGGTGCTACACAGGGGGGCAAATGGAGTAGTGCTGCTAAACAGCTTATTTGTTCATGAGTGTGTGTATATGTGTTTGTGTAATAATATTTAACTAGACATATATAGGTATATGTATATACGCGACATTGCATTTAATTGTGACTAATAAATTTGTAGTTTTTTGTTGTTGGAGCCAAGTAACACATCAAGGAGCTGAGTTTAACCATCCGAGAGAGAGAGCAAATGTATAAGTGTGTGTTTGTGTAATTTCTTCCTTCCTTTTATACATCATCAAATAAACGCCTTGGTGGTTCGATGCGATTTGATCCCGATGTTGCCATAAAATCATCTTCTTCATAATCACCAAATTCCAAACGATAATGACTGGTGGAGGGTGGTTGTACTTGGGTGCTTCGGCCAAAACGGCTGCTTATCTCATCGGATAATCCTCGAGATGTGGAGGTGTTATCACTATAGCGATTATTAGTTGATGGTTGATGTCCTCCCTTAAAGCCCACATGGGCCTCTGTGCTAACACCAAATCGCTCTTTCAGCTCATCGGACAGGGATCGCGGCAAAGTGTCATAACGTAAATTATCACCATTTCTAATCAAATCATCAGAGGGTACATTGGAGCCCAAACGACCAACCCCACCACCACCACCGGATCCTCCTGCAGTAGACACTGCATTATTCGCATTCAAATTACCATATTTATTGACATAAATATTGGCAGTTATTGCCTCATTGTTGCGAGAAAATTCTCTTCTACGATTCATAGCCTCCTCTGCTCGCTGACGTCTTCTCTTCTCCCGAGCAATCAAATCTTTGCCCTCCTGTACCAATTCCGTGGCTATCGTTTCGTTTTGCAAAAACTGTTGAAAGCCCATGGCGTTTAGTGCCCTCGAACCCAAACTAAACCATGTGGCCAAACAAAAGGCCAACATACACATGGGAAAGTAGATATTAAAACCATTCGATATGATTCCAATGACATCCATGTGACCCATAATCTGGGTATAATACGTTTCCATCACACGTTCCTTAATAATATGCGAATCCATGTGTATCAAACCCAAGAAATTCAAACACATGGGTGGTGTTAGACGACACAACAACATGCCACTGAATATCAAGCTATGCTCATTGGTCTGATGATGCGGTGCCAAATAGTACAGGTTGAGGAAACGTATACGCAATATTGTCGAATAAGTACAATAGAAGAGGTAGCACAGCACAATCATTGAGAAGACTTCAATGGTAAAGAAATCATAGCCATGTTTGGCCACATTAATGACATTGGCAAATATCGACAGAACCGGTCGACGTTGGAAAAATGTTAATTCACTCCACACAACCATACCGGACATAATCGCTGTGACCACACACAACGATTTCAGCAGAGGACTTCGCAGCAAACAAGCCCAATACCAATGCAGGGTCGGCGAATAGAAAAATCGGCCCAATTGCGAACGTGCTTTTGTAAATTCCGATTTAAAACGTCGATCCGATGAATGCATATTCCTGGAGACATCTTCCAAATATAATACCTTTTCGACCTGTACACTCCATAAGGCCTCTGTGCGTTGTAAGGTTTGTAGAGATTTTATCACTTGTCTGTGTATACGTACCAATGCTTTTTCAGAGGGTACAATAGTTGAAGTACCACCACCATTGCCGCCTCTTGAATAATTTCGAGCTGCCCGTTCTTGCAATTCTGTTGGTACTTTTCGCAAAATTGTCTCAACGCATGGGCGTAATTCATGATTATTGGGTACAGAACGTGTTATACCCTGCAACGATTCCAAAACATCGTCGACATTTTCTTCAGCCTCGGCTTTGTCAGCACTTAATTTTGCCGCCTTGAAATAGGCATATTGCAGAGTGAAGCCGGGTTTTGCATTATTCCACAGCGAACGAGGAACTTCGACCAAGGCATAACCTGAAAAACAAAAAAAAATATTCTTTAAAAAATCCACGCCTATTTGTCGTTATATCCTTGATAAAATATTCTTTAAAAAATCCACGCCTATTTGTCGTTATATCCTTGATAAAATATTCTTTAAAAAATCCACGCCTATTTGTCGTTATATCCTTGATAAAATATTCTTTAAAAAATCCACGCCTATTTGTCGTTATATCCTTGATAAAATATTCTTTAAAAAATCCACGCCTATTTGTCGTTATATCCTTGAAAAAATATTCTTTAAAAAATCCACGCCTATTTGTCGTTATATCCTTGATAAAATATTCTTTAAAAAATCCACGCCTATTTGTCGTTATATCCTTGATAAAATATTCTTTAAAAAATCCACGCCTATTTGTCGTTATATCCTTGATAAAATATTCTTTAAAAAATCCACGCTTATTTGTGGTTATATCCTTGAAAAAATATTCTTTAAAGAATCCACGCCTATTTGTCGTTATATCCTTGAAAAAATATTCTTTAAAGAATCCACGCTTATTTGTGGTTATATCCTTGAAAAAATATTCTTTAAAGAATCCACGCCTATTTGTCGTTATATCCTTGAAAACATATTCTTTAAAAAATCCACGCTTATTTGTGGTTATATCCTTGAAAAATATTCTTTAAAAAATCCACGATTATTTGTGGTTATATCCTTGAAAAAATATTCTTTAAAAAATCCACGATTATTTGTCATTATATCCTTGAAAAAATAAACTTTAAAAAATACACGCATATTTGTCGTTATATCCTTGAAAAAATATTCTTTAAAAAATCCACGCCTTTTTGTCGTTATATCCTTGAAAAAATATTCTTTAAAAAATCCACGCTTATTTGTCGTTATATCCTTGAAAAAATATTCTTTAAAAAATCCACGCTTATTTGTCGTTATATCCTTGAAAAAATATTCTTTAAAAAATCCACGCTTATTTGTCGTTATATCCTTGAAAAAATATTCTTTAAAAAATCCACGCTTATTTGTCGTTATATCCTTGAAAAATATTCTTTAAAAAACCCACACTTATTTGTCGTTATATCCTTGAAAAAATATTCTTTAAAAAATCCACGCTTATTTGTCGTTATATCCTTGAAAAAATATTCTTTAAAAAATCCACGCTTATTTGTGGTTATATCCTTGAAAAAATATTCTTTAAAAAATCCACGCTTATTTGTGGTTATATCCTTGAAAAAATATTCTTTAAAAAATCCACGCTTATTTGTGGTTATATCCTTGAACAAATATTCTTTAAAAAATCCACGCTTATTAGTGGTTATATCATTGAAAAAATATTCTTTAAAAAATCCACGCTTATTTGTGGTTATATCCTTGAAAAAATATTCTTTAAAAAATTCAAGCTTATTTGTGGTTACATCCTTGAAAAAAATATTCTTTAAAAAATCCACACTTATTTGTGGTTATATCCTTGAAAAAATATTCTTTAAAAAATCCACGCTTATTTGTCAATATAAAAAAATTAAGCTTTTATGCCTGTTTATCCTTGATTTTTTTTATCTTTTCAATTTCCTTACCCAATAACAACACCAACAGGAACAGACCCCATGTATTCGATGCCGATGATGCTATTGCCTTCAGCTTTTGCCAATCCAATGACACACCTTTGGCGGCAATATATATCAATAGTATACCACATATAAATAAATATGAACCATAATAAATGGCATTCTCTATTAGGGCCGATTTCAATTTGCCCTTTATCGTAAAGTCTCCAGCCTTTAAATAGGATTGCATTAATGGCATTATTAACCATGTTAGAAATTGCGATGTCCAATATATGATACGCCATAAATTGGGAAATACTTCATCGGGTATCATACCCCAAGGTTGTTGACATTCTGATGTTTTGGATAACAAGGCGGCGGCATGTGAAGATGATACTGTTGCTGACAATGATGACTCATTATGTTTCAATGAATGCTGTGGATGTATTGTGACTGTAGTGCCGGCATGTATGGTACCCATAGTGCCGCCTGGCATTGTTGTTATTGTTGTGATATTGTGTTCTTGTATACATTGCCGATATAATGTCTGGAAAAAAGTTTAAAAAAAAATATTTTTCAGATTTTTTACGTTATTATTTGTTGGTGTCATACTTACCGATGTCACATCCAATGGTATGGTGAAAACAATTAAAAATGAAAAACACCAGGCTGTTAAAACCGAAAGTGTTACAATAATATGCTGGCGTGGTATATTACCATAACGGTATAATGAAAAGCCGGCCAAGCACAAGGCCAAACATATGGCAAATGGTAATAAATAAGCCATAATTAATCGCTGGTTCTAAATAAAAAAGAAAATAAAACGGACGGTCTTGGCTATCTTTAGAAATGGTTACGTGATTTGTTTGCCAATTTGTGTGTTGTCGTTGTTGTTATATTGCGAACGAGAGGGAGCTAAGGAGGTTGGTTAGGATCAACTCCAGGTGAAATGTGCAAATTTTTTGTAGGCGAACGTGCGTGCTGTGTAGGTGTGTGTGAGTGTGGTTACTGCTGCTTCTCCTCCCCCCAAAAAATAAGTAGCTGGATTTAGTTCTTTGCGTTCTTGCGATTGTTGCCTTTTAAACGTTTCTCTTGCAACTGCCTGGCAGTATCACGTTGCATTTCCTCCAAGCGTTCCAGCGCCTGAGATTTCAATGGCATCAAATGTGGCTTACAAAATACTAGCTCCGGTTTATGTTCGAAATAGAGTTTACCCGTAGTGGGAACAATTAATTCGATTTTTTCCTTGCTATACAAATCCTCTTGGGCTTGAGTAGTTCTGCGGTTGGTGGTGGTGTTATTGATTTCTACATTGGCATTGGTTTTTGTCGTCATAATCAAAACGGGCGGCTGGCTGGCTTACAAAGCGACGACAACAACAAAGACCGACCACCAGTCAAAGAACGTACGTTCAACGTTGATCTTTGATGTTTGTTGTTCCTGTTGGGCTTTTTTTTGTGTTCTTACGTGATTCTTGAATCCACACGCACAACCACCACCTCCACCACTAAACAACAACGTGAAACATTAAACTTTTTTCTATCCTTTATATTAAATTGTCGTCGTCGTGTTGTTGTTGTAATCAAAAGTGTTCTTGTTTCTTTGTGGGGGGTGTATTTTTCTGATACTTTTTTTCTGGCTTTCAGCTTGCTTCAATGTGTTCTTTTCTTTCGATGTATTCACTTTCTTTTTAAATTATTTCCACATTTTTTAATTGTTGTTGTTGTATTTAATCACATTGATAATAAATATTTAATTTAAATATTAAATATTTTATACTTTTACTAAGTTTTATGCTGACACTGCCACAAGTAGAGTTGTGTCGTTGCGATATGCTAAGCAATAGTTCAATTGAGTGATTCATTGGAATGAAAAAGTGGGAACCATTTGGATTTTGGTTGTTCAATAACGGAAATTGTTTTTGTATTTCATTGCTGAAACTGAAACACTGGATTCAGTGAATTAGATTGAACAATTCTAGCAAGAATTTTGTATTCTTATAAAGGGATATATAGATCGATAGTTGACCAATTAATAATTCAAAGGAAAGCTATGTCGTTAATGGCATATGAGTAGTAAATGAGGGGGGCTATGGACAAAAATATAACATTAGAAACTATATTTTTGCGCAGGATAATTAGATGGAAAGGGATGAAATGTTTAAGGATATTCTTTCAAAGATCAATTCGGAAATAAACTTGGATTTTTTAAGGAATATTTTTCAAGAATATACAGACATATAAGCGTAGATTTTTAAAAATATTTTATTAAGGATATAATGACAAATAAGCGTGAATTTTTAAGGAATATTTTTCAAGGATATTTAGAACAAAAAGCGTGGATATAATGACAAATAAGCGTGGATTTTTTAAAGAATATTTTTTCAAGGATGTAATGGCAAATAAGCGTGGAATGTTTAAAGAATATTTTTTCAAGGATATAACGACAAATAAGCGTGGATTTTTTAAAGAATATTTTTTCAAGGATAAAATGACAAATAAGCGTAGCTTTTTTAATGAATCTTTTTTCAGGGATATAACGACAAATAAGCGTTGATTTTTTTAAGGAACATTTTTTCAAGGATATTTTTTAAGAAATATTTTTTCAAAGATATATAGAACAATATGCGTAGATTTTTTAAAGAATATTTTTTCAAGGATATAGCGACAAAAAAACGTGAATTTTCTAAGGATTATTTTTCAAGGATAATTGATTTATATATCTTTTCATGTCCTATTATACGCCCATGTGACAAGTTCCGAGAGTTTTTGAATTCCCATACTTTTTTAAATTCACATGTTGTGCAAAATGGTGTGCTCAATTTCGAGCGAAAGTGCGACTCGAAAGCATAGCTGTGTTCAATATGTTACGAAATGTGTTCAATAAAAAAACATATGTTTCATTGGAATTTGCAATTTGTTTACAAACAAAATTAAGAAAAAATATGCCTGCTGGCTTATTAATAGCCCTGGCTTCTACCAGAAAAAGTCTAATGATACTGGAACTGTTAAAATAAGCATTTATGGATATTTTGAGAGAAAGCCTCCAGTTAGCAGGTACCTTTCTGGCTGTTGGTGGGTTTCAGAGGGTAGTGGCAAATGATTTAAATATAAGTGTTGATCGCACAACAATGTGTAAAATATTGTGGAAGTCCTGAAAGACAAAGTGTGTGCAAGCTGTGGACAGCTGCAGACCAGGATCCAGCCATGATGATTATATTTGGCATATGAGTGCAGCTAGGCAGCATTAACAAAAGAGGAAATGGTACGCAAAATAGTTGGCTTGTATGAGACAGTGGTTACGCTTTAGAAACATTTTTTTGACGCCCTATAAACAAGTGGAGCATGGATATTGTCAACATCGATATAATAAAGTGCACACATCTGCAAAAAACTTATTAAAATGACTATTGGAAATCTTAAAAGTAGATTTTTTATAGATTCTATTTCTATTTTGATCATATGGTGGTTGAGTTGCCAAATTGATCTCAAAAATGCTACGCGCTGTTTTTGATAAAAGGATCCCTTTTTTATTTTCTTTAATTATACTATAAAAACTAATGTAAAATCTGTATTTTTTAAATAAATATTGTAAAAACACGTTAAATATTACTTCAGCGTTCTTTTTCAACTTGTACGTGCTCAGAAAAACACGTACGATCTCATTTCGTTTTCAATCCACAAGGCTATATGTGATCGAATTATATTCCCAATATTTTTTTGGGAATTCGGAATGGAGCACACCAAATTTGGGAAAATGTTTCACATTCGAGCAAACTCGAAATGCAGCACATGGGCGATAATTATATTTTCTCCCCTACCCTACCTAACAGCAACCTACCCAACACCCCCCATTTCATTATCCCCAACATAAATTAAGAAAAAACACCAAAATTTTATTTTTTAAATAAAAAATGTTTTGTTTTTTATTCAATTCCAAAATACTGTTCTCTGTGTATGGCTTTAACAAAAATTAATTTACTTATTTTCTACTTAAATCTAAAACGGCCATTGGCTTTTCTACTTAAACTCTAAAATGGTAATGAGTAGTAGAGAATTCATTTGGCTTCTTATTTAATAATCAGTCATTTTTACATCATCTCCTCAAATCATCTTAATTCTTAATAATTAATATAGGATCTCCCGCTTTAGTCAACTTCTTCAACGGTGGGTCCACTTCTGCCGCCACCAAAACCGCCCGCCTGTTGGCCACACGAAGGTCCAGCTCCATGTAATTTCGTCATAATGGGTGTGCATATCTTTGTCAGGTCTTTCATTTTATCTTCATACTCCTCCTTTTCGGCCAAGGTATTGGCATCCAGCCATTTAATGGTATCTTCACAGGCTCTCAATGCTTCACTCTTTTCGTGTTCCGATATCTTATCACTGCCCGCCTGATCCAATGCCTGTTTTACACCGAACACATAACTTTCCAAATTGTTGCGGGCAGCTATCTTATTGCGTTGCTTCTCATCTTCAGCAGCATATTTCTCAGCCTCGTTAACCATTCTATCGATTTCGGCTTGCGATAGACGGCCCTTGTCATTTTTTATGGTGATATTCTTGGCATTACCGGAACTCATTTCCTTGGCGGAGACATTCAAAATACCATTGGCATCCAAATCGAATGTCACTTCAATTTGGGGTACACCACGTGGAGCTGGTGGTATGCCGGATAGATCGAAGGTACCCAATCGGTTGTTATCCTTAGTCATAACACGTTCACCTTCGAACACCTGAATTGTAACACCAGTCTGATTGTCCGAATAGGTGGAGAATGTTTGGGTCTGCTTGCATGGAATACGGGTGTTGCGTTCAATGATTTTCGCCATTACACCACCAGCAGTTTCAATGCCCAACGAAAGTGGAGCCACATCGACCAGTAGGACATCTTGGATTTCACTACTCTTGTCACCACTGAGGATAGCAGCTTGAATGGCTGCACCATAGGCCACCGCTTCATCTGGGTTAATGGACAAGTTCAGGCTCTTGCCACAGAAGAATTGCTGCAGCAGATTTTGTACCTTTGGAATGCGTGTTGAGCCACCAACCAAGACAATATCGTGGATATCATTCTTATCCATCTTCGCATCGTTGAGAGCCTTTTCGACTGGTTGCAATGTCTGGCGGAAGAGATCGGCACACAATTCCTCGAAACGGGCACGACTGATTTTGGTATAGAAATCAACGCCCTCAAACAAGGCATCAATTTCAATGGTGGCCTCTGTGCTGGATGAGAGTGTACGTTTGGCCCGCTCAGCAGCTGTTCTTAGGCGGCGCAAGGCTCTGGGATTGGAACGTAGATCCTTTTTGTATTTGCGTTTGAATTCATCAGCCAAATGGTTGACCAGGCGGTTATCGAAATCTTCACCACCCAAATGGGTATCTCCAGCCGTGGAACGTACCTCGAACAAGGAACCTTCATCGATGGTTAGAATGGAGACATCAAAGGTGCCACCACCCAAATCGAAGATTAACACGTTGCGTTCTCCTTTCAGGTTTTTATCGAGGCCATAGGCCAGGGCGGCTGCTGTGGGTTCATTGATAATACGCAAGACATTTAGCCCGGCAATGCGACCAGCATCTTTGGTCGCCTGTCTCTGTGAGTCGTTGAAATAGGCTGGCACTGTGATCACGGCATCGCTGACTGTTTTACCCAAATACGCCTCGGCGGTCTCCTTCATTTTGGTCAGCACCATGGAACTGATTTCTTCGGGAGCGAAACGTTTTTGTTCTCCCTTGAATTCGACACAGATTTTGGGTTTACCGCCATCACTGACTACCTTGAATGGCCAGTGTTTGATATCTTCCATTATTTTGGGATCATCATATTTGCGACCAATCAAACGTTTGGCATCGAAGACTGTGTTTTTCGGGTTCATGGCCACCTGGTTCTTGGCGGCATCACCAATCAGCCGCTCGGTGTCTGTGAATGCCACATAACTGGGTGTTGTGCGATTGCCCTGATCGTTGGCAATTATCTCCACTTTGCCATGTTGGAAGACACCAACACAGGAATAGGTTGTGCCCAAGTCAATACCAATTGCTACCATGTTGTTGCTGTTGCTTCTGTTTGATTTTCTTGCAGGAAGTTAATTTTAGTTTTAGTTAGTTTTTTCAGAGAATAGATTTTTTTACACTTCTTGACTTTTGTAACGTTTTTTTTTCTTTCCTTTAACTTTTTTCACTTCGTTTTTAAATTTCGCGTTGAAAAAGTTTTGTTTGGTTTAGTTTTGTTGCCTTTATCTCTTGTGCGTTGTTTACTCTTTGACTGTTTCTACTGAATTAATGCCGAAGAGAGCCGAACAGCTGCTATTTATACCGCAAAGCCCCACT